TTCATGTTCCATTGCAAAGTAGAGTGATTATAACAATAACAATGTAGGCATATTTAACATAGCTAAAGAAGATTTAATGTCACCATAAAAATGATAAATGTTTAAAGTGTTGCACATAGTAATTAGCCAATTTGATCATTATACTATGTATTTATGCATTGAAATACATATTTACCCATAAATAGTTATAGTATAATATTCTAATTATAAATAAAGAACAAATAAATAAATTGAATACAAGAAGTGCTGATTCATAAAATAGTTGAGGATTAAATGAATAATATAAACAAAAATTTTACAGTATGGTACATGGTAAGTATTCAATACATATTAGCTGAACTATTCCCAAGTAGCGAAAGAAGAGGGCCCTTTTCAATTTTGGACATAAACATTATTCAATTTAGTTTGCTTTTCCATGAAAGTTTTAAGGTGACATTTCAAATTGGAAGGGAGTATTTTCGTAAATTGTACTTCACATGCATAGACAACTAAAGAAGCCAAGAAAGGACATAATTAATCAAACCAAAGAATATTAAGCTATATTCCTAATGTTGTTTTTTTTTTTTGCTGTCACAGTGCCAAACTATGTGGAATACTACCATTTCCATTTTCTCTGTGTATAGACTTCCGCATGTTTGAGTTACAGATTTTAATGCAGCTTCAGTCTCTTCAGCACTTCTACCTTCAATCAAGATAACTCAAAGAGTTGATGTTAGGCTTGAAAGGTCTTATATATTTCTCAGCTAAAAGCAATACAGTTATCTATGTCTCTTTTCTTCTAAGCAACAGGATTTGCCATCCCTAATCCATAGTTTCTCATTTATAAAATTATACTTTTTCTTTGCAACAGGATACACTTTTATTCTATCAATACAGGAGTATACATTTTATTCTTTCATGTTTTTATAACATTTATGTTTCTAAATTGTCTTTGTTTTGTGCTGCTATAATAAATTTCTGTTCATTATAAATTACTTAAAATGGCTTAGAGTTCAGGAGGCTGAGAGCACTAAGATCAAGGCACTGGGCATCTGGTAGGTTCTTGCTGCATTATGCTAGAGCAGAAGGCAGACTGGCAAAGGAGCCTGAGAGAGGGTGGAAAACAGAGGCAAAAAGGATCTGAACTCATTCTTCTATAAAAATCCATTCCTGTGATAACATAACATTTCATGATAACCAGTATTAATTCATTCATGAGGGACGAGCTCTTATTGTATTCACCTATGGAAGTGCATATTTTAGTATTGTCACAATGTCAATTAAATTTCAAAATAATTTTGGAGTTTAATTAAAATACACTGAAGGTGCATCTTGCATTTTCCTTGCCCAGGCCCTAAACCAGGCATTACTCCAAAGAGTTTCAGTTCCTTTTAATGGAGAACAGTATTAGAAATCAAGATCTGAGTGCTTGGTGTACTCAAAGCTACTTGAATGTAACTGCTTCTAGCACTCCCTGTGACCACAGATGGTGCCTTCTGTCAACTTCAATCAGTGGGTAAACCCCTCTAGTAAAATTTTATTTTAGTTATTATATGTTTAACTCTAGAATTTATATTGTTTTTTAAAATATACTTTCTATCTCTCTATTAATAATCTGTATTTGGTGAGATATAGTTGTCATACTTTCTTTTAGTTCTTTTAAGCATGGTTTTCTTTAGTTCCTTAAGAATATTTATAAAGGCTGATTCAAAGTCTCTGTCTTCTCAGTCCAAAATCCATGACCCCTTATAGACAATTTCTATTGACTCCTTCTTTTTTCTTTGTATGGGCTACAATTTCCAGTGTTTTGTCATATCCCTCAATTTTCTTTTAAAACATTTTATATAATTTATTGCAGAAATTCTAGATTTCTAGAATTTCTAGAATTTCTAGATTTCTAGAATTCTAGAAATCAGATTTCCCAGTGGTTGCTGTTATTTTTTATTGTTGCTATTGTTGCTGTTTGATTTTCTAGACTAATTCTCTATAGTCTGTATTCTTTGCAGTGGGCAGTCACTAATGCTTCCACTAGCTTTGTTTGTTTGTTCTGTCTTGTTCATTATTACGATTTTTCCTCATGAAGACACCCTAGGGCTTATTTTCAGGGAATGTGTTTTTTTTGTTTGTTTGTTTGTTTTTTTTTTTTTAAGTACGGTACAATAATCTACATTTATTCAAATATAATTAAGTCGTCTTCTTCTGGAACATCATCACAACTCTCCAAAACCCGAATTCTATTTCCTTTAGAACCATTGGTCCCAATCTCTCGTGTTGAGCAACAGAGCTGTCATTGGGCAGATGAGAAGGGCTGCTTGTCTTCTTTACTGCTCCTTGTCAGAATGCATGGGTTGTGCAGATACGCTGCGTAGCCACGCCCACCACTAGGTCTTATTTCCGAGGTAGGGTTTATATTGCGCAAATGCTTAGAAATCCTGCTAGGGCTTATTTTATGGGTAGGTCTTATTTTCAGGGAAACACGGTAACCGCAGCCCTTTCCAGTCCTTCTCGAACATGTGTGCAGCTATCTGGATCACAGGAATACCTCAGAATTTTTCAAGAACCGCCGTATATTTCTTGTTCTATTCTTAATTTGTGGCTGTGTCTTGTTTATCCTAACTAGTATTGCAGCCTTAGGCATTTTAAGTTAAATCATTGGAGCTGATTGTTTTCAATGCCTGAGGTTAGGATTTTCCCTACTGAACTGAGTTCTGAGTCAGTTCAAATAATCATAATACCCTGGAAATGAGACTTTTCCTCAGAATTTCATATGAGGTCAAATAATGGCAATACATTGGTGTTGAGGCTTTCATAGAGCTCCAAAGAGGACTGCCCTTTCTTATAGTTGTGAGGTTGTTAGTATTTTGAGGCTATTATGCCATGTAGCCAGGAGTGGGGTTTGGGGGTAGTGCTAAATTAAATTGCCACAAAACCACTGTTCTTATTGAGCTTTAGTAGTTTTTCTTGAATAAACAACTTTCCTGTTCCTTGTAAACTTTGTGTTAGTTTTAGAATTCAATGTTTGTGAAATTTATCTTGAATAAATATTGTACTCTTGATGGAAAAATTGAGTTTCAGCTTCAAATGTATTTCCATTAAAAATCATATTTGTTTATTTTTTTCCAAAGTTGAAAAATAAAATTTTCTTATTTTCAACTGGAAGTAAATCCAAGTGTAACTTACACACTTAGATGATAATATATAGAGAAATTGACATCATATATAGAAAAATGATTTGTATAAACCATAGCATTATTTTAAATGGTACAAAAACTAATATCATGTGATACTGACACAAGAAATCGTTTTCATGAATTTCCTAATTTAAATTGGAATAATTATTTTCTTCAATAATCAATATAAATTATCCACAATTCTAATAGATTATTTTTTCTATTCCCTAATGTTTCATAAAAAAATCTTGAGATAAAATAATAGAAGTTAGAATATTTTTACTATGTATGTTATGCAACTTTCACAAATTTTATTATTTGTAATTATATCTTGATACAAATATTTCTTTGACACACTATTCTTAATATAAGCACATTATTTGGGAATTAAACCTGACATCATCTTCATTCATTAGTAAATAATATTGTTGTTACATTTCAATAATATAATCAATAGTAGGAATGTAAGATTGAAAAACATAAAAATCCTTAGTCTCACAGAATTTTCTTTTTGGAAGGTAGAAATAAAATTAAAGAGGTTTAATATTCAGGAATGTAGCACGGAGCAACCAAAATTACCGTATCAACAGCAACAAACAAATATAATCTTGTGTGCTTTTAGAACACAGACACAACATCTTTCATAATCATCACCATATTTCCATTTCATTCAGCTAAGAGCAACAATTAGAATTAATGGGTCATAAGAGACGTAACATTGGCCACAGGGAAGAATTGTCACTTTTAGTTCCTTCATTTCACCCTATGAAAGGTCTAACCTCAGAAGACTTCTTAGAGACGAGAGTATTAATTTTGCTGAAATTCAAATAGAACCTATGGTGAGTGTTCAATTAAAATGTTAAGTGTTGTGCATAAACTGTGATATGGACAAAGATACTGTCTTGAAAAATTCAAACAGCCTTGTATTCCTAGAAAGGATGAAGTGAACCAATGAGTAACTTATTACGGAAGTAGTCTATACGGACACTGGAACTTGATAGAGTGCTGACAAGGTTAAGTAATAAAAGCTATTATAAATACCTTCTATACTCATACTATAAAAATAAATACCTTCTAAAATTTGGGTGAATTATTGAACTTACATGATAACATTTAGAGAAAGAAGTAATATTATTTATGTGAATTATAATATAACACACTGTGAGATTGATAAAAAACATATATATAATAATATTACACACATCGTATATATATGTGTGTTGTGAGTATATATGTATATTATGCATATATATGCACATGTTGTATATGCATATTACAGACACATGTATACATATGCCTATAAACATATACAAGCACAGATACTATGTATGTATGCACACATACTTTGTTTTTAAAGTGTTTTTTCTGCCACAATCTTTTTAAGAGTGAATGAGAATATTATTTCATTTGTTGAAAGCATTATTATTTTCAGGAGTTAGAAAATGATGATCACTTGAATGAACTCTGGCCATGAATGTATGCATACTGCATAGCATATACATATATATGACTTATTAATTTTCTTTTTTAGACTAAAATATAAGTTGGAACTGGATGCAAGATGCATGGTAGTTCATGTAAATCAATGGTCCCCAACCTTTGCACATCCTTTATGGCCACCAGGCTCCAGTTTCACGGAAGACAATTTTTCCATGGACCAAGGGAAAGATGGTTTCAGGATGATTCAAACACACTACATTTATTGTGTAGTCAGACCTCTCTGCTAGGTGATAATCTGTATTTGCAGCTTCTCCCAGCACTAGCATCATAAACCACAGCTCCACCACAGATCATCAGGCATTAGATTCTCATAAGAAGCACATAACCTGATCCTCACATGCCACAACTTACAGGTAGGATCTGTGCTCCTTTGAGGAATCTAATGCCACTACTGCTCTGACAGTAGGCAGAGATCAGACAGTGATGCAAGCAATGGAGAGTGGCTGTAAATACAGATGAAGCTTTGCTGCCACCTCCTGCTATGTGGCCATGTACGCCCATGTACTGGTTACCAGTCTGAGCCGGGGGGTGGGGACTACAGATATAAATAGAAGAGATAAGTTTGTTTTTTCGTGGCACATAGATGTGGAAGAGAGTTAGTTCTCATATTTAATGTGTGAACACAGTGACCTCACATTTTTCATTTTTATATTTTATGATTCCAAGAGCACTCTCTGTATCTTGCTCATATAATTATTTGTTGGACCGGGTAGTGGCTAACGCCGAATTTTTCTTTTTAGGTAACTGAAATATTATCTGCATTTTTCGGTGCATGCATATTACAACTATCTTCTGGGTTACTATTTGGAAGAATAAAAAATCTTAGATAATATTTCTAAGAAAAAATGGAAAAGTATTCACATTTATCTAAAATGGTGAGTGAATACAAATAAATGGTTTGGTGAACATTCAGTTGTTATGCCTTTTATATGATTGGTGTTTATGGTAATGGATTAACATCCAGTACTCTGAAACCAAACTTGTTCAGCTACTAACTAGCCATCTAATCTTGTGATGACACAGTTTTATGCCTCTCAAATTTGTTAAAAATTGTAATAAAAGTAGTGAAAATGGCATCATTGTTTTGTTTTGGACTTTAGAGGAAAGCTTCAATTTTCCGCATTCCAGTATGATCTTTAGCTGTGGGTTTGTCATATATGGCCTTTATTGTGTTGAGGTACATTCCTTCTATACCAGTTTTGTTGAAGGTTTTATCATGAAGGACCACTGAATTTACTGAATACTTTTAAAAAGAATCTATTGAATTATCATATGTTTTTGTTCTTGATTATGTTAATGTGGTATTTTATTTATTTATTTATTTGCATTATGTTGAACCATCTTTGTATTCCTAGGATGAGTTCTACACGATATGGTAATGATCTTTTTAATGTTTCCTGATTGTGTGTTAGTATTTGTTGCAGATTTTGGCATCTATGTTCATTGGGATATTGGTATATATTTTCTTTGTTCTTTTTCTTCTTTGTCAGGTTTGGTATCATGTATGCTGCCTTATAGATGAGTGTGAAAGTATTCCCTCCTTCAATATTCTGGAATAGTTTACGTAAAATTGGTATTATCTTTTAAATGTTGGCAGAATTCAGCAGTGAAGCCAGGTCCTGGACTTTGTTTGATGAGAGGATTTTTATTACTGCCTTGATATTGTTATTCATTATTGTCTGTCAGATTTCTATGTGTCTATGATTCAATCTTACTAAGGTGTATATGTCCAGGAATTTATTGATTTTTTTCTAGATTGCTAATTGTTTGGCATATAGTTGTGCATAGTAGTCTCTTACTATCCTTTTATTTCTGTAGAATCAGTTATGTCTTCTTTTATCTCTTGACTTCTTTCAAAAGAGATCAGAGGTTCTCTTTTTTTTCCTTAGTTTAAATCCATGCATTTACAAGCAAACAATTTTCAACAAGGCACCAAGACACGCATTGGGTATAGGCAGTCTCTTCAATAAATGTTCCTGACAAAACTGGATACCAACATGCAAAAGCATGAAAGTAGACCTCTATCTCTCACCATATACGTAAATCAACTCTAATTGGATTAAACACTTACATGTAAGACCTGAAACTATGTAACTACTAGAAGAAACATAGCAGAAACAGTTCATAAGTTAGACCAAGCAAAGATTTTTTGAATAAGACTTCAAAAACACAGGCAATAAATGCAAAAACAGACAAATGTATTGAATCAACCAAAATTCTTTTACCTAGCAAAGAAAAAATGAATAAAGATAAGAGACAGAATGCTAAACTATTTACAAATTATGCATCTGATAAGTAGTTATATCTAGAATAATCTAATGAACTCAACTCAATAGCAAAAACAAAACACTTCATTGAAAATGTGCAAGAAGTATAAATAGACATTTCTCAAAAGAAGACATACAAATGGCAAACAAATATGTGAAAAATACTCAACATCATTAATTATCAAAGAAATGTAAACAAAACACAATGAGATATCACCTCATTCCCAGTTAGAATGGTTATAATAAAGAGAGAAAAAATTGCTGGTGAGGATGGAGAGAAAGGGAACTCAAACACTATAGTGGGGAATGTAAACTGGTTCAAGATTATGGAAACAGTATGGAGGTTCTTCAAAACTTAAAAATAGAACTACTATGTGTTCAACAATTCCATTACTGGGTAATGTATCAAAGAAAATGACATCAGTGTGTTGAAGAGACATCTGCAAACCCATGTCTATTGTAGCAATATTCAGTCACAATAGCCAACATATGGAATCAACCTAGATGCATCTACAGATGAATGGATAAAAAAAATATGGTATACACACACACGCGGGCGGCACACACACAACACACGAATTCTATTCAGACATAAACCAAAATTGTGGCAACATGGATGAACCTGGAGGACATTATGTTAAATGAAATAGGCCAGGAACAGAAAAGCAAGTATGGCATTATCTTCTTCATATATAGATTTTTTAAAAGTTGATTCCATAAAACTAAGGATAAATTAAGTAGTTTCCAGAGACGGGGGTTTAGGAGGTAGAGGGACCAAGAAGAAATTGGCCAAGGGTACGAAGTTACAATGGATAAGAAGAATAAGCTTTCATGTTCCATTGCAAGTAGAGTGATTATAACAAATAACAATGTAGGCATATTTAACATAGCTAAAGAGATTTTAATGTCACCATAAAAATGATAAATGTTTAAAGTGTTGCACATAGTAATTAGCCCAATTTGATCATTATACTATGTATTTATGCATTGAAATACATATTTACCCCATAAAATAGTTATAGTTAATATTCTAATTATAAATAAAGAACAATAAATAATTGAATAAAGAAGTTGATTCATAAAAATAGTTGAGATTAATGAATATATAAACAAAACATTTACAGTAATGGTACATGGTAGTATTCAATACATATTAGCTGATACTATTCCCAAGTAGCGAAAGAAGAGGGCCCTTTCATTTTGGACATAAACATTATTCAAATTTAGTTTGCTTTCCATGAAAGTTTTAAGTGACCTTTCAAATTTGGAAGGGAGTATTTTCGTAAATTGTACTTCACATGCATAGACAACTAAAGAAGCCAAGAAAGGACATAATTAATCAAACCAAAGAAATATTAAGCTATATTCCTAATTTTTTTTGTTTTTTTTTTTTTTTTTGCTTCACAGTGCCAAACTATGTGAATACTACCATTTCCATTTTTCTGTGTATAACTTCCGCATGTTTGAGTTACAGATTTTAATGCAGTTCAGTCTCTTCAGCACTTCTACCTTCAATCAAGATAACTCAAAGAGTTGATGTTAGGCTTGAAAGGTCTTTATAGTTTCTCAGCTAAAAGCATACAGTTATCTATGTCTCTTTTCTTCTAAGCAACAGGATTTGCCATACCCTAATCATAGTTTCTCATTTATAAATCATACTTTTTCTTTGCAACAGGATAACTTTTATTCTATCAATACAGGAGTATGCATTTTATTCTTTCATGTTTTATAACATTTATGTTTCTAAATTGTCTTTGTTTTGTGCTGCTATAATAAATTTCTGTTCATTATAAATTACTTAAAATGGCTTAGGTTCAGGAGGCTGAGAGCACTAAGATCAAGGCACTGGGCATCTGGTGAGTTTTGCTGCATTATGCTAGAGCAGAAGGCAGACTGGCAAAGGAGCCTGAGAGAGGGTGGAAAACAGAGGCAAAAGGATCTGAACTCATTCTTCTATAAAAAATCCATTCCTGTGATAACATAACCATTCTCATGATAACAGTATTAATTCATTCATGAGGGAGAGCTCTTATTGTATTCACCTATGGAAGTCATATTTTAGTATTGTCACAATGTCAATTAAATTTCAAAATAAATTTTGGAGGGGGCAATCAAAGCAAAACAATAATAAACATTTATTTTAGAGTCGCCACATCAGGCTTAGCAGAACTACAACTCAAATAAACTTGTTGATTAAATCTTTATACTTTATTATTATTTTAAAAGCTGAAAACATATTATTGGCAGATTATATATAGTGCAGCATGTCTCGAAAACAATATCAAATTGACCACTCTAACATTTAGAAACTGTTGTGTCACAAACACTTTTTGTTTATTATAGAAGAAACATATATCAATCTAATAAAAACAAATATAAAGTACAATGTAGATATGATAGTTAGTGCATTCAAAGTATACAGGTAACTACTATTAATTTCATACCATTATTTAATATAGAAAAATATTATGGGATATAATTAACCATGCATGATATAATCATATGACAATATAATATGGTAATATAATACATATTTCTAACATAGTATTTATATTCTAAAAGCTACTTGGTGACTTTATACAATTAACAATATGTACTCATTTCCATATTGTAAAATATTCTTGAGAAAATTATTTAATCATATATATGTTCTATACACTACTTAAAAATGCTTTATTGTGTGATATTTGTTCCAATATTATATATTATTAAAAGTGATGTTTATTGATATACTCATCCATATATCTTATATCTTCTTTTAATTTGTATTAAATAAAATTTCCTAAAAGTATACTTTTATGTCAAAAGGTCTAGATTTTTCATAATTTGAGTAAATGATTAGATTATAATTTTGAAGTAGGATTTATGTTCTGACATGTGAAAATAATAGTAACTGTAGAGCATTTGGAAATTGTTGAAATAAAAACATATAAATCATTATAATCTTGTGATTTAATATTCATTTAAATATTTTAATATATAAAAATATTGTTACACATGTGGATATGCCTACTTTTCTGCATATATGTACACATAGAGAGATAAAAAGACATTTTTTATAAATATATAATATATATATCATCTATATCATCCATTTATCTATCTAGTTTATTTTGTTATTTGCTATAAATATGTTCTGTAAAGTCACAGGTGACAATGAATTAGTGAATGCTGACTCTTGCTCCTAGGGATAATCAGGTCCATGCAGATGCTGATCATAACATTTTCATCATT